TGACAGCGCTGCAGGTGGCTGAACGGCCAGTACTCAGAAGGAGCGAGGCCAGGGCTGTAGGGGAGGGGGGCGGGGTGGGGGAGGGAGGTGGGCGACCATCAGCCATCCGTACTTCTCCAGCTCGGCCTGGGTCGCCTTTGCGGTGTGAGGTCGGGCGTTGTCATGGTGGAAGTAGATTTCCGCACTCGACGTGATCTTTCAATTTCCGCAGCTGGGTAACTATGTGGAAGCGTCAATCGTCTGTCCCTTCTCCAGCAGCACTCCATGCCTCTTCTGGACCACCAACAGAACAGGGGAACCATTTTGGTGTGAAGGTCGGCCTTTGAGGTGGCTTCTGGCTGTTCTCCTTTGTCGACCCACTCCTGCTCCCTCACAGGGTTATCGTAGAGGACCCACTTCTCATCTCCAGTGATCATCGAGTTGAGAACGCGAAGCTTCTTTTGTGAATCGTTAAGCAAAACCAGGCAGTGGCGCAGGTACATTCTGTCACAGTGGTAATTGTGCGACATTGTGTACTGCAAATGCAAGCTCGGTGAGTGATAGCTAGTGTAATGAAAGAGTATAATGTACACGTCACGCACACGTGATGACGTAATACCAACATCCATGCGAACGAAATAGGAGAGCTTGTGGCATACGTGTTCTTTAAAAGAAACTACCAATATTTACAGCATCCTTCGCCCTTCACCCGAAAGGGAAAACAGCAAGTGCAAGTAAACCAAATCGGGAACGATTAGGTCATAAGTGTCAGGCAGGTGTTTGGTAAAATCATCACGTGTTTCACATAATTGGTGATTGCAAACGCCACGTGGAAAGGCAGGAATTGTTTGTGTTGGTGACGCATTCTCTTCGATGTTCCAACCTCGCACTTCTCGCTTGACATAGATGCGAAAAAACTTTGGAAGAAGCTAACAAATCCGACTTTCCCCATCAAAATGATTTCGGCTTATCTATCGAGTTGTTTTTTTAGTTCCTTGTCGTTGTACCCAAATAGTGGGCATATAGATAAAGTATGCCTGGTGGAAGCGATAGAACTGTTTTCCAACCAGTAAGAACGAAGCACAAAAGTAAGCGATATCTAGGTTTTAGCACCAAATTTCAGCATCAGAATGACCACTTGGCAGAGTAAAGACTTCACCACAACCCCATCATTTTTTTCGAGACGCCTTGAAGCACGAGTCAAAGGAAAGGTTATCAATAGCGGCGGAGATCATAGCCTACCATACCAATTCGTCCATGCATGAAGTATGCCGTCCGCAACAAAGTGTCACTCTCTCTCTCTGCAAATAATCATAATTTATTGAGTTGTTCTGATTAGCTTGAGCCCCGTGCTACAGTTCATTGAACAAATTTCCGGCTGAATCGCTTGCGTCAGAGCGTGAAAAGTTCAAAGACAAAAAGGGCTTTCCTTATAAACCAATAACAAGAATGAAGTAGCATATCGCGCTGCTGGTAAACCATCTGACGGTATCTACTAGTAAAGTCTGCCCGGCTTCCCCTGATCGCCGGTGCGGTAGAGATTGATCAGAAGAACAGCACCAATGCCTTGAGAGATGAGTGTTCAGTCCTCGACCTCATCTAAATCGAAATTTGTAAGGACTGTCCCTTCAACCCTCGTCCACGTGCCACAATCCACAAAGGGTGCTACTTCTCTTTATTATTCATATTATTCATTTCGGGTTATCAAGCTGGAACAAAATGCTCTCTTTGTCTTGAATCATGTATGCTCTTGCTTCAATTAGGAACAGTAACCTAATTTCGACGTTCTCTGGTACCCAACAGAATGACATTCTAATGGAATTTGGAACAGTGATCATTACAAGCTGTTCAAGAAATCTCCGAACATTCATTCATTGCATGAGGGCAGCATATTGGATAGGTCCATCACCAGTGCAAGTCGTGATCAATTCACCAAGAGACAGCATCATGCGTCACATAGTCAAAATATTCTTTATGATTGCGCATGGTTTCTAGAAACTGCGTGTGGAAAGGATAGGTGTTGTGCACAATGGTGGACGGAGGAATAAGCACCTGTTTTTTCTGCGGCGATGCACCTGTTAGGGAGCCGGGAAGGAAATACTCGTCAGATAACATTTTTTCTGTAAAAAGAGCGAGAACT